CTAAAAAGTGCCTAAAAAGTGTTAGTTAATTTTATACTCTATAACAAATTATAATAAAATAATACAAATATAATATATTTTACTACAAATAACTGCAATGTATGTGTGTAATTAACAAATACAAACATACATACAAATTTAATTTTTAAATTAATTTATTATTTCTAATAAATGAGATAAAAGATCCAAAATATAAATGTATAGGAATATCTCTCTTCTAAACAGAGTGCTAATAAAAATCTTTATGACATTTAATTCTGATAGATTTAAATTACGTGTTTGCGCTAAGTCACCAATGTTTACGGATTTTTGGCGTATGGCCTGATCCATTTGTCCCTTTGAATTACATCCGTTGGCCAAATATAAGATTTATAATCGTTATGTGTACTTTGTTCTTTTACGTGATTATACCACAAACAACTAATATTATTCTTGCCTGGGGTAACGTAATTCGAATGGTGGAAAGTCTCTCCTCTGCAAACTTCAGTTTGATGGCATTATGCAAGTTAGGCTGTACTTGGTATCATGGTAAAAGTAAGTCATTACATCTATAATTTTTGTCATATGACATTTGTAATAAAAATTATTTATAATATTAAATTGATTTACGTCATGGAGGAAGTAGAGACGTCAAGATTCGATTCATTATTTAAATTCAAATGTCATTATAAGTAACAGTTTTGTTATGACAGATTATTTCATATAATGATAACTTATGTAATATCTTGTTGATATTGTTCTTTCGCACTTAATGATATCTTGTTGATATTGTTCTTTCGCACTTAATGATATCTTGTTGACATTGTTCTTTCGCACTAATACATAGTATTTAATCTGGAAGCTCTCCGAACATTGATGATATCGATCATGACGGATTGGATGACTTCGAAGAACCATGAACGAAATACGATGTTGAATATCGCGAGACGTGGTAGAAGCTTATCTATTAAATGTTATATGGCTTCAATGTGTACACTTTCGTTTTATTTATTTCTAAACCTCATGAAGTTTTATCGAAGTATGCACGAACCTCAACGGAATCTCGTGTATCATTTTTCCTATCCTTACAACATTCAAAAAAGCCCAAATTACGAAATCACTTATTTTATTCAACTATTCGGCGGTATATACTCAGCCATGATCATGAGTACTATCGATAGTTTCATCTCAATACTCTTGTTGCACATATGTGCGCAGTTGATAAATCTACGAATGGCACTCAAAAATCTAGTTGATGAGCTAGCCAAAGAATTTATATCCTCTTCCGAATTTAAGAAAGGTCTAGCTGCGATCGTTGTACGCCACGAACATCTTATCAGGTACGCAAAGAAATATTGGATTTTATTTAACACTATAAAATATTTTTAAACGTTTATAGTATCTTATTTATGACATATTTTTAAATAAAATAAAATAATATCCCATAAATTCCATATATTCATATATTCATATAATAAATAAAAGACTTGATAGGATTTTTTAAAAATATTCCTAAAAAAATTATGTATATTATTCCAAAGATTCAAATGTAAATAATAAAAATATGAGTTGACAATCTACTTTAGATATTAAGATTCTAAATTTTTTGTTTTAAATTAGAATTTATATTATTACTTATAATTTATATAATTAAAATTAATATACTAAGTCTTTAACAAGTAAGGAATTTATCAATATTCAAGGAATGCAAGTACAGTGAACGACTGCTATAGCGCAGTGTTACTTTTGTATATGTTAGCTATTACCTTTCAACTGTGCTTTGAAACCTTTCAAGTTTTCACAGTAAGTAAGACAAACTATTTTGTTTTTATGTATTTTATGCATAGATATAATATATTAATAATATGTTTGTATATATTTTAATTTTCAAATATAATAATGTATTTTTCATTATGCTCCTATATCGTTAGATATGGTCGTTATATCAGCATTAAAATTTTATTGTAAGACTAATTATTATAAATAAATATTGAATTAAAAAGATATGTTATTTTCAGATAATAACAAATAATTTGAACGTGTCTGTTATTAAAATATGTTATCTTTCTCTTTACGCTATTGTTGTATTGATGCATTTGTATATGTATTGTTACTCCGCTGAAAAGCTCTTAATGGAGGTAAAAATCATTATACATATTACATGTAATTTCTCTATGCAAAAAAAAATTTAATTTTCAGAGCACCAATATGGCATGGGCTGCGTATGAATGCAACTGGTATAATATATCGTCCAAAGATATATCGTGTGATAATATATCGTGCAAAGGATTTAATATTTATCACACATCGATCTATAATTCCGCTGAAACTAACGGCTGGAAAATTCGGAATCTTTTCGATAGAAATGTTCGGAACAGTAAGATATATCTATAAAAAAGAATTATTTTTCATAAAAATATGTGTTATCTGATTTACATAATGAATATTAGATTTTTTGTATTATATTAAGTGTACAAAAAGTTCGGAGCTTTTTTTTAAAGTAAAATTCAATCTTTATTCAAAAACAAACAAAAAAATATTAATCAGCGAAATATTTCCCGTTTGCATCAACGACCTTTTGCCATCTTTCGGGTAGCTTGCGAATTCCTTGACGTTAGAAGCTCACCGGCTTCGAAGCGATAAAGTCATCAATGCATTTTCGTATCTCTTCAAATCTCACGAAATGTGTATCAGCCAAATGATGCTGCAGCGACCGGAATAGGTAGTAATCGAAAGGTGCTATGTCTGGGCTACACGCCGCGTGCGGGAGAAGTTCCCAGCCTAACGCAAAGCTATGGTCCTGAGTCGCTTTCGCAACATGTGATCGAGCATTGTTATGAGGCAAGATCACTTTACGATAGTCCTTGGCCAGTAAATGGCCTCTTTTCTTCTAATGCATCGCTCAAATTGGTCAATTGTTGTTGGTAGCGGTCTGCCGTGATTGTTTCACCCAGTTGTAACAACTCGTAATACAACACACCTTTCCAATCATTTCCCATCAGATACAGAGCAAAACCTTCTTGGCGTGGATATTGGGCTTTGCCGTCGATGTCGAAGATTGACCAGGGTCAACCCATGATTTTTTACGTTAGGGTTATCATAAAGAATTCACTTTTCATCGCCTGTAATGATTTTGTGCAGAAAATCTTTTTTCCGGAACTTTGAAAGCAAAGTGAGTGCAGTATCACGCCGACGATTTTTGTTGTCTTCGGACAATTCATGCGGAAACCATCTGCCTTCCTTTCCCATCGTATGTAAACGTACGGAAATGGTTTGCTGCGTAACGCTAATCTGTTCTGCAAGCTCCTTTTCAGTTTGCGCAGAGTTTATATCCAACAGTGCTTGCAATTCGTCCGTTTAAATCTTTTGAGAGCGTCCAGCACGCGATTCATCTTCAAGACTGAAATCTCCTTGGCGAAATTTTTGATACCATCTTTTACATGTAGTATGACTTACAGCGTTCTCTCCATATGCAGCACAAATCATTGCAGTGGCTTCAGCAGCATTTTTCTTCAGATGAAACGCGAAGTAGATGGAAAGTCGAATATGCTCTTTTGTTATATTGCTTTTGTTATATTTTGTTTTATTGCCATCGTGAACACTATTGATTTTTGTGGTTATGTGCATCAAACGCCAAACCGTATGGCATTTTAGAAGGCCAAATGTCAACGCTTTAAAATCGCAAAAGGGCGGGAAGATATATAAAATTTAAATTGTTATTTCGGTTGTATGAAATCTAAAGCTCAGAACTTTTTTGTACATCTAATATGTAATAGCATTTTAAGAATATCACATTATTATTAAGAAAAATCAGAAGAATATCACATTATTATTAAGAAAAATTTGTCACTACTATATATACAAGAGTTTATTATTATGTATTGCTATTATTACACATAAGACAAAACTAATTTTATTTTCAACTTTTTGTTTTTTAGACGGTGAAAACATCAATGGGATATGTATCGGCATTATTAACACTCATGGATTAAAGAGAATAATGTCTGAAATAGTGTCAAATTAATTGCACGTTCTTAATTTTCTATTTACTACATTAACAGATTTAAATAAATATATTGTCTGTAATATAATTTTTACTGAAAAAATACACATATTTGTGCAAGAAAATAAATTACTTAATCTATTAAATCACCTTTGCCATAACTTTATTATATTTTAGTTAGTTAAGTAACAATGAGAACTATAAATTGATAAAAAAAAGCAATATTTATAATCTTTGATTATGATTTTCTAATTACTTTTGTGTTACTATCGATTGTTATTCAAAAGAGTTTATTTAAGTACTCATAGATGGTAGTGGTTGAATCCTTTGTTGCACTGAGCAAGCGCAAAATCACGGCAGTTCGATATAATCATGAAGAACGATTCAGTCAAAAGATAATTTTCGCTCTGTGAACTGCAATGAATCTCGATAAAGGTAGAATATAAAGTAAAAAAATTATGGTTCTTATTTTCGCAACGAATTGTAAAAAGTGAATTTAAAAAAAAATAATACTTAAAAAAGTAACAAAATGTTCATATTACGGATATTACCCACTAAAAGCAAAATCGCATCATATGATATAATTACTTATATAGTACATAAAAATTGAATTTTCAATTACACACACGTGTTTATTATAAGATTTATTATTATAAGATGCTATTATAAGAAGCTTGTGTTTATTATAAGATTTATTATTATAAGAAGTTAATATAAGAAGCTTTTATTTTAACTTAAATTCTATAAAATTTAAAAAATTCAAAGTATCCAAAAAAAATTAATTTTTATTACATTATTAGCTGTATTGTAACAAGTTTATTGAAAAATTCTTATTATCAATTAATTTTCTCACGTAAAATATTATTATTTATTGATAGTAACGCTT